TACATATATACACCTCATGTATCCACCACCCATATATAGCAGTTACCATTATGCTCTTCTTGTTTCATTTATATCTTCCCCAGCTTTCCACATTCCACTCAGTTATTGTCAATTCTTTGAGGTAAATCTTACACATTTTAAATTCATGAGTGTTAGCTGTACAATATTGACAATTAAGTGCATACATTAATCCCCTTCCCCTTTCATAATATAGAATGTTTCCATCTCTTCAGAAAGTTTCTCATGCCCCTTTCCAGTCAGTACTCCCATCTTGAGACAGCACTATTTAATTTTTTTTTCACCTTATGTTTGTTATACAAGTGGGGTCGGTGCTATCAGTGGGTGGGAGTGGCGGCTGCTGCCCCGATCACCCCTCAGGAGCAGAGGAAGGTAGAGAAGCCCTCCAGGGTGATTAGAGCCAGCAGCTGCTGCTCCCACCCGCTGTTGGTACTGAGTGATCAGGACCGGTGCGGGACACTGTGGCACATGGGAGAAAAGAATTTTCAGTAACCACCAGAGGCTCACCCCGATGACAGAGACCTGCCCCCCACCTTGGTCTGGTACTTCCACTCACCTGCTCCACCATCCCTCTGTGGCAAAGCCTTCCATGTTCTGCACACGCCCCCTGGTGGTGATCGGTTGTTCGGTTGTTCAGTTGTTCTGGTCTATTTGCATATTAGCCTTTTATTACATAGGATTATATCGATTATGTGGAATACTATATTATACTTGTTACAAGTGAGAAAATGAATGTGAAGTGCTTTTAGCACATAATGAATGTCAACTGTTACCTTAACCAGAAAGGTTAATATACAGAAAAAGGTACTTACGATAAGCTAAGAACCCTGCTACAGGTCCATTTTACAAATATTTAAGTTTATATTGAGTTTGAATGCTGACTCTTGTTGACCAAAGGCAAATCGTGATTTTCATCTTAATAGAGAGTAGAAGTAATATGGCTCTAAGTTGTGTATGTATGTGTGTGTGTGTGTTTCAGCTTCTGTAAAATTTTATTTAGTAAAATTTCTTCTAGTAATTTTTGAAGCAACATAATATGTAAAACAAAATTAGAGTTCTTTAGCTGAAGAGAACAAAGGATGTCATTAATCTGAAATACTGCCATAGAACCCATGAGATATGAAGTGCAGTTAACTAACCACTTAACTAGAAGATCCCCTAAAGTTTCATTCAACTTTTGAAAACTTTAATTTTAATTGTCTTTTATTTGTTTTAAAGTTATGGAAAGTTTTTCATATATTCTGCATGAGAATCCAGAATATATGAGAAATCAATGAGAACTGTCATCAGTATGGCATAGTGGTTCAGAGTGCAGGCTTTGGAATTTTAGGGACTGGATTCTCCCAGTACTGCTATTCATTAAATATATGATCTCTAGATACTTAATCTCTCTTGGTTTACCTGTAAAAGGGGGATACAAATAATAGGTATATCACTGGATAATTATGAAGATGAAGTGAGATGTGGAAAATGAAATACTTAGCATATCTTGATTATAGGTCCAAAAAATGAACATTTACAGGAAAAAAAAATGCATGTGGTTTCATAAGAATTCTGCTAAAAAATGCATTTTATAAACATTTGTTATTAATTTTCCTTTGTTACCCTTCAAGTTATGTTAATATAAACAAAATTGATATGCAAATTTATAATTTTCATGGTACTGCCATAAAGTTTGTGACTATGTTTCTATTGTAATCTCTTCTGTTTTATCTGACCTTTGATTTTGTGTGATTTACACATGAAAAAGTATGTTCACTTCCTAATTAAAATGTACAATATCTTTTCTATAATTCAGAAATAGTATTTGTTGCATTGGTGAAAAAAATTATAACTAAAAATTTTATTTTATTAGGCAGCCAAAGTTTCAGAATTTTTGTTAAGAAACGATTTCTCTAGATTTCTTGCTGTTTTTAACAATATAAGGATGTGACATGAATTTTAGAAAAGGGCCTTTTTTAGTAAAACTCATTTCACAGATAGCTGACTAGCAAGCCTTTAAAGGATCAAAGGTTTATTCCATTTTAATTAAGCCTACCAAACCGACAGGCTCCTAATGTTTATAACTAAGCACTTGCATTTGCCAAATTGGGCAAGAAACTTTATGAGAACAAATTTTATAATATAATGCATTATTATGCTTTCAATTTTAGTTCAGCTCAGCTGAAAACCAACTTTTCATAAAATTTGCCAACATTTCCTTTTTTGGTCTTACTCATTTAATGGTATAATAAAGAACATTTTTGTTAAAGTTATGAAAAGCAGAAAATTTGTCTCAAATCAACAGATTGAGATCAGTGTCTATTAAATATGGAATAAAAATTATATATTAATTAAAATCACTTACTCATTGCAAAAAACGTGGGGATTTTTAGGGTAATTAATAAGAATTCAAACCTTTTTCAACTTTAAATATTTTTAATGTTATATTGTTCTTTTTATGTAGATTATAAATGGCTCATATATATGTATCTACATGTATTTAATTTGAAATAGAAACTAATCACTTAATATTTATGCTTACCTAATATAAAATCTATACTAATAAAAGGGTAATATGCTAGTTAGACTGGATGGACCAGACGTCTTCTGGGTGTGCTTCCAGACATCTTTCTGTACAAAGCCATGGTGGTGGGGCCAAGGCAAAGGCAGTTAGGGGCAATCAGGCAGTCAGGCAGAGTGGTTAGGGGCTATTAGACTGGCAGGGGGGAGTAGTTGGGGCAATCAGGCTGGCAGAGGAGAGCAGTTAGGGGCAATCAAGCCAGCAGGGGAGCGTGGTTAGGGACATCAGGCAGGCAGGCATAGGTGGTTAGGGGCGATCAGGCATGCAGGCAGAGGTGGTTAGGGGCGATCTGGTTGGCAGAGTAGAGCAGTTAGGGGTGATCAGGCTGGCAGGGGAGCAGTTAGGGGCATCAGGCAGGCAGGCAGAGGCAGTTAGATGCGATCAGGCAGGCAGACAGAGGGGTTAGGGGCAGTGAGGCAGGTAGGCAGAGTGGTTAGGGGTAATCAGACAGGCAGGCAGGTGAGCGGTTTGGAGCCAGCGGTCCCAGATTGTGAGGGGGATGTCTGACTGCCGGCAGTTGGACATTCCCCGAGGGTTCCCGGATTGGAGAGGGTGCAGGCTGGGCTGAGGGAACCCCCGTCTCATGCACGAATTTCATGCACCAGGCCTCCAATATTATATAAAGTTTTATTTTGCTTTTAATTTTAGAATAAATATTTTATCAAGATACAGATTTTTAGATTCTCAGATTCTCCTCCGTCACCCAGCATTTTAAACATGTCATTCCATTGTCTTCTGGATTCCATAGTTTATGTTGAATACTCAGCTGTAAGTTTTGCTTTTCCTTTAGTGGTTCGATGGTGATGTGTCCTTTTTCTCCCCTAGCTGTATTTAAGGTTTTCTTGTTTTATTTAATTTTCAGCCATTTTACTGCTGGATGTGATTTTCTTTCATTTTTTCCATTCTTGGCTTGGCTATACTTCCTGAGTCAGTGAGTTAATGTATAGTTTCAGTTTTGGTGTATTCTTAGCTTTTTTTTTCTGAAAGTATTACTTCATCCTCATTCTCTCTCCTCTTTTCAACTACAGTTACGTTGGGTTGTTTGATTCCCACATGTCTTTTATGTTTTCTTTTTCTCATTTTTTTTCTCTCTCTGTGCTTTAATTAGATATTTTCTGCTGATCCCTTCAAGTTCACTAGCCTGCCTTTTGCAGTGTTGAGTCAGCTATAAAACTTACCCACTGATTTCTCAGTTTCACATATGGTATTGTTCAGTTCTAAAATCAATATTTAATTCTTTTCATAGATTTAAATTACCTGTTGAATTTTTCTTCTTTTCTTCTATGAACACTTTCTGTGCCTTCTTTAACTTTTGTTAAATAGTTTTCTTAAACTTTTGTTAAAAAGTTTATCTTCAAAATCTGTATCATGTATAGGTCAGCTTATAGGTATTATTTTTTCTATTATTGACCATATTTTGTGGCCCTTCCCATGTTTCATAATTATTATTGTATACCAGATACTGTTTACATAGGATAATAAGATTGATGTAAATGTTATTTTCTTGCCTATATTAGAAAGAAATGATGAAGTGCTAATTACCTTAACTAAACCATGAATTGAGCTGGGTGACTTGAGTGACACCTTAAGATATACCTCGTACCTCTGGTTTTAAATGTCTTAAAAGCAAGACCTATTCTGTTGTATGTATTTCTCTTTGGTGTGACTATACTTAATGAACTGTGACACTATGGGAGATATTGCTCTAACTTTTGGGTTTTGCCTCCTCTTTTTCATTCCCCCCCTCTTAAGGTAGGGTGCTTTTGGTTGAAAACATATGTCTTGAGGGGAGACCTGTTGAAATTCTATACTATATAAGTGATAGGTGCTAATTGTAATAGTGTGACTTTGACTCCTAATCACTATAACACTACAGAAAACATTTCTGGCTCAGTCTGTCCTTTCCCAATCTATTCGTGTAGTCCAAGTCCTCAACAGATCTCCCAGGAGAAAACTGTCTGTGTTTGGAGAAATCCAAAAGGTTCCAATCTGTCATACCAGTGCATGAACCATAAAAAGCTATGCTAGTTTCTCTTTTCCTGGGTGGTGTCATTCCTTCTGAATCTTAGCTTGTGTATAAATGGCAAATCTCCCAGAAATGAAAGCAATCAAGAGTCCGAATTTACCTAAGAATAGATATTACTTTTCTCTTAATTTATTTATTTTACTATCATTGCTTTTCAGTATATTTAAAAATATGATTTGGGGAGATGATTTATCTTTTTTTTTTCTAGTTGTTGTAGAAGCAGTGACTTGCCACTATGTACTGGTAAATTAGTTTTGTAAAAATAACAAAATTTTGACTCAGTATATATTCTTTTATATACTGCACTTTATATAAAGTTTGTGTGTTAATATTTGTTGCTAAATATACCAGGCTTAGAGATTGACCAATATTGCTATTTGGAAAAACTGTATCATGACAGACCAATTTAATTTCAAAATTCGTTTTGTCAGCAGTAATTTAAATGAAATGTAAACAAAAAGTAATTTTCTTTTTCTTTCCCCCTTTCCTCTTTAGTGAGTGATAGTTGCTTCAGGAATCTTGCAGAAGATCGCAGTGGGATAAATCTCAAAGATCTCGTACAAGATCCTTCTTTGTGAGTATTGGCTTTTAGTATTAATTATAATTTAAAAGTTTATGGTTGGTGTGACTTTTTTCAAAAAAGTTGTGAGAGAACTGCTTTAAGGTTGAGCAAAATTTTATTTTCTAATAATTTGTGTTACATATAGTGAAACACCTGGAGCAGTTTAAACAGAAGTGAAGTTATGGAAAAATTACTTTTTAGAAATATAAGAGATTTTAGAAGACGGGATAGTGTTATGATTACTGATTGACTTTCAAGGGGTAGGGCTAATGGCTGATGATATCTTGCCAATATGGCAGTAGATACTAGGCAGGGAAGATGATTAGTAGTTTCTTTGCTTGGAAAGGTGAATTTATTTACATCAATTTTAAGCTTTTGTGAATAATTTATAATACTTATAAGCATAATTAAAAATATGCATAAAATAATTTGTAATAACAATATGTAATAATTTACCATAACAATATACTTTTCATGTTTTACATAAGAGAGCTGTGTATAGCCCAAGATTTTTGAAGAATTTTAAAGGTTTTAATTTTTAATGTTTTTGTTCATGAGGCAATTCCATACTTTAATATAATGTCACTTTCTATTCCTTGAATTAATTTATTTTTGCAGTTGTATATTTACTGGGAATTGTGTATACTATTTTCTATATGAACATACCCTCCCAGATCACCTTTTATTGGGGGAAAAAAAAATCAAGACTAGTTAAGCCCTGGACAGCAGAGAAAAGAAAATTGAGTGCTTAGCAGTGTTTTCTTTCAACTATTTTTCTTAATCTCTCTTTTTTCCTAATCAAAAGGATTTCCCATATTCTTTCTTCAGGGTGTTTATTCCAATGAAGACTGACAGTTGTCCTTTCAGTCCTATAAATAATTAAGAATATAATTAGTATATGTGAATATAAATATTCCTAGTCAATGAATGTTGAGTAATATTTATTTAAACAAATCAATTAAGTCCATTATTATTTGCAAGTTTGTATTTTTGTGTAATAGGATCATATATCTGTTTAATGCAATATTTGTGGAAAATAATATGCTCCTGTGGAATTTATTGATATAAAAGCTGTGGAGAATTATACTTCAGCTAGAGGCCCAAAGCACGAGATTTGTGCAAGTGACTTGGCCCTGGCCCCCACCCACCGCCACTGTAGCCGGGGGCCTCTGCTGCCTCGGCTGCCTCTGCTGCAGCCCCCCACCCGCTGCAGCTTTGTCCAGAAGGAAGGATGTCCAGTATAATTAGCATATTATGCTTTTATTATTATAGATAGTAGATTAAAATAATGAATAATAGTGTTTTGAGAGAAATTGGTACTTCTTTCCAGAATGTAGAATATTTATCATGTAACCTGTAACTAAATTCTAAACCTAACCTTAGTATTTTAAGAAAAAATTATCTCAGATCACTAGTGCATTGAATGGACAAAATAATTTTGAGTTTTCTGTTTGAAAATACCCAGATACTATCTTAATTCAGAATTATTTTCTTAACTTGGTATTAGCCTAGAATGTAAGAATTTAGTGAAGCTCAGTCAGTGTGGCTCAATAGTTGATGGTCAACCTATGAACCAGAAGGTTATGTATGGTTCGATTCCCTAAGAGGGCACATGCAGACTTAATCCCCACTGTGCGGCATGCAGGATGCAGCTGATCAATGATTCTCTCTCATCACTGATGTTTCTATCTCGCATACCCTCTCGCTTCCTCTCTGAAATCAACAAAAATTTGTATTTAAAAGAAGAGAATTTAGGGGAAAATACTTTTTTATTTTGCCTTTGCCACTTGGATTTGGAAAGTACTTTTTCTTTAAGATTTATGTAAGTCTTTCAAAACTCAGGAAGAATAAAAAAAAAAAAAAACCTGAATAGGCCGATAACTACCGATGAAATTGAAGAGGTACTCAAAAAACTTCCAGCAAACAAAAGCCCTGGTTTGGCTGACTTCACAGGGGAGTTTTACCAAACATTCAAAGAAGAACTAAAACCTATCCTCCTCAGATTATTCCAAAAAATTCAAGAGGAAGGCACACTTCCAAGCTCTTAGCTAGTATTATCCTAATCCCAAATCCAGATAAAGACACTACAAAGAAAGAATTATAGGCCAATATCCCTGATGAACATAGATGATAAAATCCTCAACCAAATTCTAGCAAATCGGATCCAGCATTATGATCATACACCATGATCAAGTGTGATTTACTCCGGGGCTGCAAGGCTGGTAAAATATCCGCAAATCAATAAATGAGATCATCACATAAACAAATTGAGAGACAAAAATCACATAATCTTATCAGTTGATGCAGAAAAAGCATTTGACAAAATCCAACACCCTTTCTTGATAAAAACTCTCAGCAAAGTGGGAATAGAGGGATCATACCTCAACATAATAAGAGTCTTATATGACAAACTTACAGCCAACATCATATTCAATGGGCAAAAAGTAAAACCGTTTCCCCTAAGAATAGGAACAAGACAGGGATTCCCACTTTCACCACTCCTGTTCGACATAGTACTAGAAGTGCTAGCCTTAGCCGATATCAAGCTATATTTCCAAGCCACGGTTCTCAAAACTGCCTGGTACTGGCTCAAGAACAGACATACAGACCAATGGAACTGAACAGAAAACCCAGAAATTGCCCCAAGCCATTATGCTCAATTAATATTGACAAAGGAGGCAAGAGCATACAATGGAGTCAAGGACAGTCTCTTCAATAAATGGTGTTGGGAAAATAGGACAGATACATGCAAAACAACGAAACCAGACCACCAACTTAAAACATACACAAAAATAAACTCAAAATGGATAAAGAACTTAAACGAAAGATGGTGAACCATAAAAATCTTAGAAGAAGCCATAGGCAACAAAATATCAGACATATGTCGTAGCAATATCTTTACCGATACAGCTCCTAGGGCAATTGAAACTAAGGAGAAAATAAACAAATGGGACTATATAAAAATAAAAAGCTTCTGCACAGAGAAAGAAACCATCAACAAAACAACAAGAAAGCCCACTGCAGGGGAGAACATATTTTCCAATGTTATCTTCGATAAGGGTTTAATCTCCAAAATTTATAGGCAACTCATACAATTTAACAAAAGGAAGATAAACAATCCAATAAAAAAAAAAAATGGGCAAAGGACCTAAATAGACTCTTTAGAAAGCATACATACAGAAGGGCAAGAGACATATGAAAACATGCTCAGTCACTAATCATCTGAGAGATGCAAATCAAAAGTGACAAATTCATATCGTTAATCTGATGAAGCTACTGGAATAGTATGATAGACCCTCTGTAATTTATTCAAACTGTATATAATATACATGCCAAGATTTTTTTTATTGTAGTAAATTAATTATTGGGCTTGAATGAATTGAGTGAACATATGAAGGAGAGATGCTTTGGAAGAAGAGAAAGTTGTGAATTCCTAAGCAAGACTTTCTAGACTTGGGGAGTTCTGGTCAAGTTGGTAGCATGAGTGAATGAGGTACTTGGAAACTCCCACAATCACATCAAAATTATAACTAAACTACAGAACAAGAATCATTCAGTACCACCTGAAATCTAGTAAACAGAAGTCCTAAACTAAGGACATAAAGAAGCAGCCACATTGAGACTGGTAGACATGGAAAGGGCTGATCCCACACACATGTCTGGTAGTAAAAAATTGGTAGGGATATCGAGGCTATCGAGGTTCCCCTCTGAGGAGCCAGGGGTCCCAGCTCCACACCAGAACCCCCAGTCCAGGATTTCAGTGCTGGAAAGAGAAATCCCTATAACATATGACTATAAAAACTAGCCTGGATGGTGACTACATGAGATGGAGAGCTTCTGGAGCCCCAGGCACTCCTCTTAAAGGGCCTGAGCACAGACTTACTTGGACTCACTCTATCTGAGCTGTAGCACCACTGGGGCAGCAGCTTGAAAGGCATCAGAACATATGGCGAGGAACAGAATTATCTGGCTTCAGGCCCAGGGCTGGAGGGGCAGTTTTCTGCCAGGCAAAAGTGCTGGCAGAGGCCATTTTGCCAAGCCTTCCCCCCACAGAACTGACAGGTGCTATATCTGTCTCTCCATTAATCTCGCTAACACTATGTGCCACCCTGGTGATGCCCTTAAACCCATTCCATTCAATTTGTAGGCTCACCCAAGGTTTTTCCAGTGGCTTTTTCATACAAATGGCCTTTCTTGGCTCACGCTTCCAACTTAACTAAAGTTTCTTAAACAAGCATCATTTGACCTCTGCATATCCCATATCCCTTGTTAAGTGGACCTAGCCCTTGCATTAGTGCAGCCAGCCTTGGTTCACAGATTGGCCTCTCTCAGGCTTATCCAAGCCCAGCACAAGTAGCAGCCATAGCTCATGCCTGGTGTTCCCTGGCAGGACACAAGTGATAGTTTGCACTTACCAGGAGGTCTCAGAACAAGTGTACTGATTGGATAGCTTTAGACCATGCCAGATTACAACCCAACCACTTCCATGAGTGACATACTCAAGGGTTGGACTCAGAGGGCACAAAAGCCCCACTGAAGCAAGTCTGCTCTGTAGTGTTGGCTTCTGCACAGCAGATCCTCCATAGTGGTCGTGGCCAGCCCTATCAGCCAAATGGCCTAGGAGTCAATTCCAGTGATGTGCCATCAACATTCAAAGCTGAGCTAAAACAGGAGGGTGCACAAAGACCACACAGGGGGCACACCTGGTACACCTGGCTCAGGTGGCTTTGGAGACTATGCCACTGGGCCCTCCCTATAGGACACCTCCTGTATGAGGGCATTCTTCCAACCTGGGAGTCGTAGCAGCTCTACCTAATACATAGAAACAAACACCAGGAAGCAGTCAAAATACAACAACAAAAAAACAGGTCCCAAATGAAAGAACTGGAGAAATTTCCAGAAAAAGAACTTAATGGAATGGAGGTACGCAAACTACCCAGATGCAGAATTCAAAACAATGGTTGAAAGGATGCTCAAGGAACTCAGTATAGCATTAAAAAGGACATGGAAAC